TTGCCGTTTCCATCTCCAACTTTAGAAATGTCCAAACAAAAATCCATTTAAAATATTTCATTTAGATTTTAAAATTTGAGAAACAAATTTTTCTCCTAACATATTTACATTAAAAATTACCATAAATAAATGACCCATAGTCCGAGCTCTCGGTTGATAAGTTTCAAGCACGTTGAATTCATCAAAAAATGCATGCTTTGCTCGTGTTAATCCCAAAGAATAGATTTGACACCACTGAAATATTCCCTTTCATTTTCATCCTGACAAACAACTTTCAGGAAAGTAAAAAAAGAATATGCTAATAAACAATAACTATAAAGTGGTCACTTTTAATGAATTGTAATAAAACTTCGATTTGATAATATTCTTTTAGTCTTCACTCTTTTGCTAAGTATTTTAACCCTTTTTGTTGACATAAAAAAATAATTTCCTAAAATAATGAAACAACAACTGTTACATTATACTGAAAATTAAAATAGCGTTCATTACTAGAGATTACTGTCATTCTTTGATACGACAATAATTCACAGTTATCATAAAAATATTTTTTCATAATAAAAAGTAATTCTGATTGGAAGTATCAATATTAAAATTCCCGGAAGCACAATTCACATGAATTTTCAAGTCCAATACGTATACGAGTTCCTACTAAAATCCGAACCCAATCAATCTTTCACTTAATTACACTATTGTGCATATTAAAACCCAAATTAAAAATTCAATGTGGTCCACTGCGGATCAGAAACCGGCCTGTATTGTGAAAGCAGCAAGAAATGCGATGAATGATTGCGCAATAACGCATAAGAATGAATGTTGCGTGTTGCACCAACCAGTCGCGACGATTTGGCCAATTCCTTGACTGATCAGTACCAACAAGCAAACGCAGTAACGTATACTCGAAATGATAATTATTTAAACTGATATAACGAAATTATTTAGAAAACAATGAATTGGAAGAAGTAAGAATGGAAGAGCACAACTTGCGAACCTTAGCTGTCTATTTTTGATTAAATTCAATGACTCAGCGAATTCCTATTAAACTCTGGAAAACATTTCCAGACCTATTGAGATTTGAGATCCATATAAAATAATATTTTACAAAAACAAAACTTATTCACATGGATTCATGTCGTAAATCCATGTGAAATCATAAGAAAAAAGTAATGAGCTTCGGATTTTCTTAGAAGAAGCAAAATTCAGGTAGATGAAAATGAGTAGTTTAGATTTTATTGCAGTTTTCTAAATTCCGAAAAATCGATATATAATAAATCTGACTTTTTTATTGACAATAAAAGCAAAAGTAGTATCTGTAAATTATACCACTGATGATGAGAATCATCGTTTACAGTTCTTTTGTATGTGCCGCTTAAGACGACGAATTGAATTCAGGAATATTATTTTAGAATAATATGCAAACCTCGGAGAATACTTTCGCTCTACAAAGTCTGAGATCGTTGTCACTTTCGCAGAATACTCACTACTTTGCATTGCTACAAACAATAAAAATGAAATGAAACTGTCAAAATGCAGCATTTAATGAGTGACTTTTAAACACTTAAATAACAATTTTGACGGCACTGTTCGAACTCATTCGGCTTTTCAAATTTTCCCGATGTTTCTCATATCGATTTCTCTCATTACACCCTCATTTTCCTCATCTTTTGATTTTTTCTTTGTCTCACCCCATCTCTCTCTTTCTTAATTTTGCCCTTACCTTTCTCGTTATTAACTTTTATTTCATCCTGCTTAATTTTTTGTCTTGTAGCATACCGTTAAGGAGAATGGTGTCTCAGACAGATTACCTTCAATTTTCACTTTCAATAATCTCTGA